CTTAAGTTCTACTTGAGATTGAGGTCTCTGTAATACCCTAAAACAAATATGAACATGAATCCTAGAACTATAAAGCTCATCAATGAGAAAACACGGGTACATGTAAAGGCCCTACTTGAGGGCACAGACACATTAAGAAAATGCACACAGCACATGAAAAAATGCAACGTGATGGACCGACTAAAAATAAGACACTTATATACATCAAAAGACTAAAAATAGAACCCACAGACGGGAAAAATTTGACAACATAATGGGCAAGGCGCTAATCTCTTAAAATCTATAGAAAACAGTAATACCTCATTAAAAAGTGGGCAGAAATGCTCATGATCTCTAGCAATCCAGGAGACACAAATCAAAGCAATTATGAGATACTACCTTACACCGAGAATGAGTCAAGTTCAACAAAACAGAAAACAGCAAATGCTGGAGAGGCTGTGGGGGACTGGAACCCTCACACTGCTGGTGGGACTATAATTATGTGCAACCACTGTGGAAAGCAGTATGGGAATAGAAATTCCACACGATCCAGCAATTCCTTCCCAGGTACACATCCTAAAGAAGGAAGTGTCATAATATAAAAGACATTTGCACCCCCACAAATATTATGCAAGACCACTGTTAAAAAGGCAAAACCCCAAAAGCTAAAATAAAGATAAAGCAATTAGCTAGACAGGTGATAGGTGTTTACTTGGGTGAAATAAATACACAAGATGGAGAAGAGCAATCAAGGGTAAACTGTCTGGGGTGGGGGGGGGTTGATGAGTAGTTTAAACAGTTAAAGATAAAGCTGATCTGAAATATAAACCCTAAGAAATTTATAATTAAAAAAACTTTCGAAAAAATGGAATGAAAAAATAATGGCTCTGTATTTTTCACCAATTCACAATAAAACATTTAAATTTTCTATGAGCCACCTTCTCTCTATAAACAATCTTCTTCATAACGTTATCCACACTCGTGGCTTTAGTTGTACATTTAAAAATGTTGGCAAGCTGTGTAAAGAAATTATAGCCCAACCCTTAAATTTGTTTTACAAATATTTATCTGAGGGAGGAAAATGCATTCCTATTAGAGAAAATTCTGGCCAACTAAATTTGCTTACAAAACTTGCCTGTGGAAGATTTTCTTTCATGCATTTATTTAGTTTGAAATTTTAAAAGAGTTATGAAAACAAAGACACATGGAAAAGACACAATGGACTAACGGGTGACACAAACATCAATCTCTGCCACCCTGAAACCAGAAGACCTTGATGGGGCCTGACTACCACTGCTAACTGCTCTAAAAAGATCACACAGAAAGTCCTGGACAGAGTAGGAGAAAAATGTGGAACAGAACTGATAATCATAAAGAGACTAAGTTTACTGTTCAGAGAGCAAGTGGACAGCCAAGACTGATTCATTCTGCCAAATACTCATGTCTAAAGAATCATAACTTGTCTGTTAGTTATCCTTTAAGTGCATGTGGAGTTCCATGAAAAAAGCAGCTAGCTGAGTGCACGACTAAGGTGCTCACCCGAATGGCCTCCCGGCAGTGAGGGTTGTCATGTGTGGAGGAAAGGTAGTACTTTGGTATGTAGTAGGCTACTTCCACTAAAGAACAAAGCATCAAAAAGACAATGTAATTAAGGGCGGCAACGTGAGGATTTAAAGAGATCATGGGTAAAAAAAAAGGTAAAGGTAGCATTTTATTAAGGACAAAGTTCAGAGAATTAGGAAAGAGGAAGGATTAAAATAGGCAACAGAGAAGTGTACTGAGTGATGGTAAATTGAGGGGATTATGAACGATGAGCTGCTAACTATAAAACGATGATCTGTAAACCTTCACCAAATTCATAATGAAAATTACAATAGATCTAATATTTTAATAAGTCTTTAAAAGTTGTAACAAGGCAAAATTTATCAGATCACCTTACTTTTAGAGATTTAAAAAAGAGTAGAAAATTTGTTTTTACCTGGTTGGCACAAAATCTTGTAGCCAAAAATAGGATATCAGTGTTGATAATATTATGGACAAAGAGGTTGCAAATCCTTTTAAAATATTATCCGCATACTTAATAACAGCTGCTATTACAAGGCCTCCAAGTGCCTGCAAAATTTTAAAAGATTTTTAAAAATGAATATATATTAAACTGCGTTCTCATTAATCAATAATCTTTCAGGCTTTTGTCCTATAAATTTAATCCTATTGTAAGTGATTTATATTGAAAAACCTTTTAATTCTTCCAGAATCCAGATTTCTAGGGTTTAAGGCAAGGGTGATTCACCTAAATCATTTGCCTGTGGGTGTTCTTTTGAACTATGACCCTTGAAGAAAAGCTTAACCGACTGTGCCAGCAGGACGCCTACAAACCCACTACCTTTGAATCAATTCTGACTCATAGTGACTTTGGGGCTAAGTACAACTGCTCCTCTGTAAGGTATCAGACTAAATATGAGACTAGACTTCATTTTTCTCACTTGGAGGAGCTGGTGGATTTGAACTACTGACTTTGTAGTTAACAATTTAACACTTAACCCACTCTAATACCAGAAGGTCCTTCCCTAAAATTACCTTTAAGTCTTAATAAGTAGCTTAATGGAGACTGTTCTGCCTTTGGTACTGAGCTGTTTTGAAGTTACATATGAATAGGAATGAGTGGGGACAGTGACATAGTGGATTACTTGTTGGGCTGGGAACAAAAGGCTGGTCATTCAAGCCCATCAGCCACCCCAGGAGAAGAAGTCCTTTTGATTCACAGCCTTGGAAACTCAAGACTCTATCCTATAAGGACTCTATCCTAAACGGTCACTATGAAACAGAATCAGCTCAATGGCAGTGAATTCGCTTTTGGTTTTTTTTTTTGACGAACAGGAACTCCTGTGTTTGACTTGGTTAAATTACTATGTAAATTCTGTTCCCTGACTGCTTTCAACTTTTTGAACTATTTCTGACTCTCTAGTCACATTATCACCCCGGTTTACAAATCATATGTTAATAAACTTGAATGAATTTCTATTATTGACTTAATGATGCTTTTAACAAAATTAAATACATAATCCAAAGGTTATTTCAAAAAGTATCTAATAAAGTGAACACTTGAACAATCAGCCATCAGTTATATTAGAATTTAAGTATAATATGAATAAAATATTATTATCCTTATCCAATTTAGTGATGATATATCACTTTGGGGGGGGGGGAGTAGGAAGAGCAGTCATTCTAAACTAGAAAATATTTTTACTTTTGAGTACAAAATAAAGTAACTCAAGACATGTTACTCGACTTTCAGTAGCCTCACACATTGACTTTCTCCCCAGTCTAGTCCTTTCACTGCTGTCGGATTCCTCCCTAACGCAAGCACACTGTACACTTCATACTATAAGAATGTAGGAAGAGAACTCCGTAGCACATCTCTCAAACCAGATTGTGACTACCGAAATAATAAAGTTTTACTGCCTAGTTTTGTTTTCTGCCAAACCCTACTTACCAGCTGCCAACCCTGGGCTACTCACCTTACCAGCTCGCACTGCATCTCTCTTCCTAGAATGGAAGTTTATTAGAGAGAGTAATGCATTATGCCAATCAATAGCACTTAATGTTTGGGCCTTGGGCCATAATACTTCTTGGCACTTTGTCAATCATCTACTTATTCCCTATCCAATCCCCCAAACCAGCTCTATGTAATTTTTAAAATTTTGCTCAGATCTTCAGCCTGTTATTCTTACTCTGCTAGGAGAAAAGCCTTCATATGTAAACTCTACAACCTTACCCATCTCTATTTCACAATTTCTCTATATTTTCACTTAATCTCATATTCCCATCTATCTTTTCTATTGTTGTAATGCGTGCATGTGTATAAAATATAAATATGTCACAATATTTACTAATAGAAGTGTCCTGCCAGCATTCATTCAAAGGCAACTCTCCTTTGCCATCCTCATCACCTTCTAGAACCTTGTTCCTTATACTTTCACACACGTATAGGAGAATAGAAGACTGTCAGGACAATGACATATTTTCATTTTTTATCCTCCAGAGAGTATCAAATAAGTATTTTTTTTAAAGATGAAATTAGTTACTTGGAACTTTCCATTAGTCAATTCTTTAATGATTTCGTTATTTACAAACCACAGTAAACTGATTGGAATATTGTAAAACTTTTCCCTTCTGTGGATCTAGCAGTAGCTGCCCGGATTCTCTCTATGACAATGGATTTCATTAGCATTGGGGATAAGACTTTAAATGCTTTACCTGCAGAACAACCACTATCCAGGTCAGTCGGTTATATCCCTGAAAAAATCCGTTCTTTGATACCAATTCACCATCATAAATGTATACACCCATTAATCCAAATACACTCCCAAAGAAACCTAAAAAACATATAAAGTTTAGGCATATGTGTCACTTAGTTTGCTTGAGGAGATATTTTCCATTAATATTCCATATATCTTATATTTATCTTTTCCTTTGACCACTTAATTTTTATTTGGATACTTATATAAATGTAAAGGTATACTTATAACTGTAAAACAAAGATATAAGAATATAAAAAAACAGAGATCAACTTTGGAACACTAAAAATTATAATGTAGAAATCACATTGTTAACCCTAGCCATTTTATTTACCTTTTTCTCCTTTTCACTGTGCAACTTGCTTCAGTACCTGAAGCCCAGGGGGCAAGGCCAGGCAATCAATGGTCCGGGGCTAGTTTGTTCTTCCATGAGACACTATGAGAGACCCATGGGGCCGGGCCTGCCATAAACCCAAACCCCTGCACTCGATTCATATTTTTACAAATTGCTCACTTTTGGCCTATTTCATTGTATTTTGTGCCTTCCCTATTGCAAGGTCTAGATAGTCATACATGCAAATATAAAACTTATGATATGCAGGCTAGCATTTTTTCTTTATTAAATTCTTAAAATTAACAACTAATATCCCTAAAACCAGGGCTAAGAAGCAGACGATCACAGACCAGGCCAGAAATTGTCCTGACTGAAGCTTCAATGCTAATAGCCCAGTAAGAGCAGTGACTATGACTTGTTCACTGCTGGATCACTTGCTTCATAACAGAGCCTGCCACATAATTACTGGGTTTAAATGTTTTCCAGAAACACTCTGAGGTCATTAGTAAAGAAACCAATGCCTACCCACTACACCTGCCACCATCAAGTTGATTCTGACTCCCGGCAACTCTTCAGAACAAAGACATGCCCCATTCGGTTCCAAGACTCTAAATCTTTATGGGAGCAGACTGCTTCATCTTTCTCCCTTGGAGCAGCGGGTGGATTTTTATTGTAGACCTTATAGTTAGCATCCTATTGATTTACCCACTGTACCAGCAGGGCTCTGGGGTGGCCACTAGTAAAATGTGCAGCCCAAGAGTGTAGAGTTTAGTTTTCTTTAAAAATTCCCAACTAATCAAAGTATTCTACCAATGGAAATGAAATGAATACACAATGATCTTTCTAAAATGCCACTTATTCCAGCTCTATCATTTAAAAATTCCTAGTGTTCAGTCAAGGCTTCTAACTGGTCTGACATGGTTCAGGTTGCGTAATGGCCCAGGAAAGCAAGGGCAGCATAGAGGTTGAATAACGGCCAGATCTCCTGAGCCTCTGATGTAACCAAAGTAGGACACAGGCAGTGGTGCCCTGTTCCAAAGAGTGAGCTACTGCGCCCTCTGGATGGGTATTTTGGTGCTGTCGGCTGCCATTGGTAAGCAAGGCACCACTGACTGTTTCAAACTCTGGTCAGAATCCAGGATGCAAGAGATTTGGTTGCCAGTGTAATTATGCAGAAAAGGCCAATGTAAGGCAAGCATAAACTATCATTGTTTCTGTTGGCCATGAATGAACATTAACCCCATTTCAAACATGAAAATAATGCTACCGTAATTCAAAACTATACAAATGAACACTCCTGAGGGTATTAAAATTTTAAATTATAAAAGTAATACTTAAAAAAATATCAAATACATATATAACAATACGCCTTAGGAATTTTTAAAATGCTTTACATAGCCCTCTGAGGTAGATACTTTTATGTATACTTTATAGATGGAGAAAATAAGAGGTTAAATAACTTGCCCAAGCACATGCTGCTGGTGATTATTTATTTATTTATTTGGATGGATATTATTGCATTCTCTTTTTAAAAAGTATTATTTTAAATAATTTATTGGGTGCTCTTACAGCTCTTATAACAATCCAGATATCCACTGTATCCAGCACATTTGTACATATGTTGCTATCATTCTTTTAAGAACATTTTCTTTCTACTTGAGTCCTTGGTATCAGCTCATTTTTTTCCTCCCTGCCCCACACTCCATCCTCATCAACCCTTGATAAATTATAAATTATTATTATCATATCTTGCACTGTCCGCTGTTTCCCTTTGCCTATGTTTCTGTTATTCATCCCCCTGGAGGGGGAGGGGTGTGGGAGTGTGTTATACATCAGTCATTGTGATTGGTTCTCCCTTTCTTCCTCCACCTTCCCTCTACCCTCATGGTATCGCTACTCCCATTATTGTTCCTGACAGGTGCTGGCGATTATTATAGATTAAATTGAGTTAGAAAAGAGCAGCTTAAACAGAAGAAAGTGAGCACAACGGGGTGGGAGGAGCTACCTGATGGCTCAGAGGCAGACTCTACGAGAGCTCTGCAGGAGAAAAGACATGGGAATCTGCTCCTGTAAATATCATAACTTAGGGTAACACCAAATAAAGGTGAAGTCACAGGCCAGTGAATTAGTTCATGAGGCTCTTCGACCCAAAGTCTCGGACTCATGCCAAACCCTCTCCCTGCACAATTCTGGTAAGAAGGTGGGGAAAGATACTGATAGGAGTCACCTGTGAGTAAGTGCAAACAGGATTCCCTGGGATGCCATCCTGCCATGTATAAAATGAGCCTCTGAGTAGGAGGGATCTCATTATGAGCAAGTTAGGCATAGGGCATGTATGAACCCAAGAACCCTATGTGGTGAACCTCCTGGACCCAGAAAACAGCTATATCAGAGGAGCAGCACAGACTCAAGAGCCAGAGCATGGAGCTGCTAATGCTTTTGAACTGCTGACTACACAGTTAGCAGTCCACTGTGTAACCACTATGCTACCAGGTAAGCATATATGTCTGTGTGTGTATATGTGTATATATATCTATGTGACTATATGCACACATAGTCATATGAGGGTACTTCAAAAAGCTTGTATAACAATTCCATTGTCTCTTTTTTTCAGTGCATGTGTATAAACTATTAATAAACAGAGTTGATAATCTTATTCCTTCTTGGACATACCCATGGTTCAACCATTGAGGTCAGTGGTCTTGGTCTGTTGGCTTCAAACCCAAGGGCCTCTGAAGTGGCACAGCCCTGTGTAGGACCTAATCAGTAGTTGCTCCAGATCTTCACAGAGCTTGTTGGCCAGGACCTCGCTGTATTTGCCAACCATCACCTCTTTCTTTCTGTCTGTTCAAGAACCAGCATGCAATCTTGTACTACCATGGGTTCTGCACAATGGTGATCACCCGCTCAACCTCGTCCTTAGGTAAGCTACTCTCTTGGTGAGGTCAAAGTTTGCTTTTCTCAACACCACATGAGCATATCTTTGCCCCACACTTTTAATGGCTGTGATGGCAAAGGCTGTTTTCTGCTGCCCGTGATGTCAGTGCTGCAAAACGTGCTCAATTTCTTGATGATCACTAACGGCATGGCAGTGGCAGTAGCAGTGGTGTGGAATCCTCCAATGGAAGACTCCATTATTTTTTAATTCCAATTCCACAAACTTTTTGAAACTCTCCCATATATAATAAATCACACAGAGGTACCCTATGTGCATAATAAGATACAAAAGATGCATAATTATGAATATTTCTTGGCTGTAACCAAAACTTCATGAGCTTAGTTCTCTGGGTTTAAAGGATTAGGACCATAGTCTCATGGTACATAGGGGTCAAATGATAATAGTTCTTTTTTTTTTAATCATTTTATTGGGGACTCGTATAACTCTTATCACAATCCATACATACATCCTGTCAAGCACATTTGTACATTTGTTGCCATGATCATTTTCAAAACATTTTCTTTCTACTTGAGCCCTTGATATCAGCTCCTCATTTTTTCCCTCCCTCCCTCACCCACCTTCCCTCCTTCTCGAATCCTTGATAATTATCAATTATTATTATTTTTTCGTGTCTTACACTGATCGATGTCTCCCTTCACCCACTTTTCTGTTGTCCATCCAGCTGGGAGGAGGTTGATCATAGTTCTTAAAGTTATGTTCTACACCCTACCTTCACTTCAAGAAGAGGTCTTAAAAGCTGGCAAGCATACAAGCATTAGCTTTAAATTTTATTAAAAGCTGTACATTTATCTTATGCCTTTTGGTATGAGTATCATAGCTCTCAGTGGTGCAAAAGGTTAGTAAACTTGGCTGCTAACTGAAAGGTTGGTGGTTCAAATCAGCATGTTGGGAGAAAGGCCTGGAGATCTACTGCTACAAACTCAACCACTGGAAAACCTATGGACACAATCCTACTCATCAAGCCATGCCATAATTGACTCTTCAGCAATTGGCTTTGTATTACATTAATGGTAAAATGTTTTCAAGATTAATATATTGTTTTTAAAATTAAGCTAAATGTGATAATTAAAAACAGCTATTTTGTGAACTTGTGATATAATTTCACCAATATAATAGGCATCCTTTTTAGTTGATCTTTCTATTAATAAGAAAAGAAATATAATTCTTGAGTTTATGAAATTTTTTCTCTTCCCCATAATGCTAATTAAATGCTGTTTTTAACCTGGGGAGTGGATGAAAGATAAAACATGTATTTTACTTATATTTATAAGGACATTTGAAATTGTGGTTGACTATTTTTAAAAGACTGATTTTAGACTCACTAAAGTTGGTTATTTTATAATCTGGAAACCTTAGGATTCTTTGATCTTTGAAAAAAAATTGTTATTACAATGAAAACAGATAACACTGAGGCAAGAGGGAAAAAGCTTAGGACGACTATTGGATTTTACTTGTCTGGATCAAAGGAGAATGCGAGCACCAAAGACTCAAGAAGAAGCTAGTACACAGGACTACTAGTCTACAAGGACCTGGTCTCAGCGACCCCGACAACACTACTGACCATCATGAGTATTCCCAACACGTACTGTGCTCCTTTGAAATAATCATATATAGGAGACCAAATGGTCAACAATTATTTAAAACTAAGACGAGTCTGTAAAGGGGCAGTGAAACCAGATTAATGGAAATGGAACAACCAGAATGAAAAGAATAAGAATGCCCCATATTGTAAACAATGTAACCAATGTCACTGGACAACTTGGGTAGAAATTGCTGAATGGAAGCCTAAATCTTTACTAAAAACAGAATAGAATTGGGGGAAAAAAACATAGACAATACACTGTGTAGGACATGGAGAGGCTGATATACTACTAAAAAACAGACGTGGTAATGACGTGGCCAGAGAAACCATGGCTTCAAAGATGAGCCGTCTGTCATCATAAGGATAGACACTTGAAATAGAATGTGTTGATTTGCAGCATCTTTCAGGATGCATACATGTCAGAATCTTGGTATGAAGAGTTAAATGTTAAAATATTATAATAGTTGGCACATTTGTTACTCCTTTGTTCAGCAGAGATAATCCTTCATTATATTGGTTTTTATTTTTATTTTTTCAATTTTTAACTATTTACCTTCAATTCAATTGGTCATCCCCAAATACGTTGCAAATGCTGACCTACTAACTGCCATGAATTGGAATCAACTTATTGTAATGACTTTTTACCTTTATTTATTTATTTTAATCATTTTATTAGGGGCTCATACAACTCTTATCACAATCCATACATACATCAATTGTGTAAAGCACATTTGTACATTCACTGCCCTCATCATTCTCAAAACATTTCCTCTCCACTTAAGCCCCTGGCATTAGGTCCTCATTTCTCCCCTCCCTCCCCGCTTACCCCTCCCTCATGAGCCCTTGATAATTTGTAAATTATTATTTTGTCATATCTTGCCCTGTCCGACGTCTCCCTTCACCCACTTTTCGGTTGTCCGTCCCCCAGGGAGGAGGTCACATATAGTTCCTTGTAATCGGTTCCCTCTTTCCTACCCACTCTCCCTTTACCTTCCCAGTATCACAGACTTTTTACCTTTAATTGGAAAACTGTCTCAGAGATTTCTTAAAGAACCAAAATATTTTGAAATAAAAACACCTAATAAAATTTAAAATCAGAAGCCAATGTACTTTTTTCCCCTTCAAATTTCTTCTATTTAAGTATCTTAATCCCATTTCCCATGGATACAGTATAAAGGCATACCTCATTTTGATATTGTGCTTCACGTGTTACACACCACCGAGTAGTTTTTATAAACCAATGGCTTCTGGAAGCCCCGAGCAGAGCAAGTACACTGGCACAACTTTTTCCAATAGCACACACTCACTTCATGTCTGCATCATATTTTGGTAATTTTTGCAGTACTTCAAATATTTTCATAGTAATCCTGCATGCTTACTAGACTATACTATACTATAAAAAGTATACTATAAACATAAGTTTTATATACACTGGGAAACCAAGAAATGTGTGTGGCCTGCTTTATTGAGAGATTTGTTTGAGGTGATCTGCCTATATCTTGAAGGTACACTTGTATAAGTAACTTGCACCATCTTCTGGGAAAGAAGTAGTTACTACAGCCCCAAATGCTGAGGACACATCTGTATGCTTAAATACCAACATTCACTTAAGACGCAATATTTTTAAGGCAAAGAAAAATTAAAAAGCTATATATTTGGTTCAATAGACTATTAGCTGTGAGGCTAATTTTAACATATACAATTATTTGAATACAACAATAGAGTCACTTTTTTAAGCATTTAAAACTTACCAAGCTGAATATTTCTTATCCACACTGATTGTTTTGTTTCTTTTAGGATTTTCTCAAAGTAAACCCCAGCAAAGCCACTTGAGAAGCATGCTACGAGAACTGCCATGAGGCCTACAAATGGAGAGCTAGCTGAAAGGTCCTTAGAATCCTCTTCTTGAGAATCTGAGGGCCACTGAACAAAAAGAAAAGAAAAAAGGACTAAAGTTAATACTTTACAAAGTACACACTTACAGCCTACTCTTAGAGCTAAATGTGAAATCTATCAATATCATTTTTTAGGACTGTAGCCAAGCGATTTTGAAAGAAAACCTTAGAATCATGGGATCCATACCTCAACCCCACTCCTCACCATGGCAATAGTATACTACGGTTATAACTTAAAGTTAAATCAATACTTCATAATATTTAATTTCTATAGATGAGTCTATTACTTTGACATTCTCTAAAACTTATTTTAGTAAAAACAGTAGATGAAAGTAGATGAAAGAATGAGATTCCACTCCCTCTGCTTCATCAGCAAACACAGAAATAAACTTCAAAGAGATGTGTTAGCTCAACCATAAGAAAGGCAAGTTGGGAAGTGAACCAAGAACTGTCAAAGAAAGTCAGTCCATCAGAAAATGAAGGGAAAGTTTGGATGGCAGTGAGAAAACTGTGTTGAAAGTATGGATAGAATTTTTTTTCATTTATGGTTTTATTTAGCACAAATATAACTTGCAAATGGGCCATCTATTTATTTTCTTCACTGTGCAGCCTGGCGTTGGGATTGGTGACTCTAATGGCCAGCTGGGCTGCTCTTCCTACAATGGCTTTGCGATTCTTGGAGGAAACGTTGTGAGCAATCTCTGCACACTAAGACTTGTAGCACATCAGCAGCACTTCCAGCTCCTTGACGTTGTGACCAGGAACTTGCGGAAGCCACTGGGCAGCAGGTGCTGGGTTTTCTTGTTGCTCCCGTAACCAATGTTGGGCTTCAAGATCTGGCCCTTGAATCTTCTCCGCAACCTGTTGTCAATGGCTCTGGGCTTGCGCCAGTTGCATCAGATTGGTGCCGGATGAACTTCTTGGTCCTCTTTTTGACAAATTTTAGGCTTTACCAGGGGTCTGAGGGCAGCCATGATGCCGGGGGGGTGGGGGTGGGGGGGGGGGATGGCTGCCTCCTCCATAGGCACCGCCGAAGAAAAAAAGCAATGATAGAATTTTTAATTCATGTGGAAGCTAGATTTTTCTGGAGCCATGGAAGTTTAAATGATCCACCTGAAAATATTTCTCTCTGGGCCAAAATTGGTCTTCTAAAAGCCATCTTTAAGGAAAACTAGCTTAATTAGGGAAGAATATTTGCCTTGAGCATCGTATTGTTTTAAAGAATTAGCTATAGACAGTTTTATCTCAGTTCATTATCCCCGTAAATTTTATTTATTTGATGTTGTTGAGAGACTCTACCCAGCAAAACATGTATACAATACACCAATTCATAGTAAAACATACAACAATTCATCTTCTACACATACAATTTAGTGACTCGGATCACATTTTCCAACTGGGCAATCATTCTCATCTCCTTTCCCAAGTTGCTCCTTTCTCATTGCCATCAGCCCACTGCCTTCTAAACTTCCTATCTCATCTTTTGAGCTGTTGTCAATTTGACTAAATATAAGCAGTTTTTACATGTAAGCATAATGCTCATGCAGAATTTTTAACTTACTAGTTAAACTATTGGTTAATTTTAAGACGACTTCTAGGGAAATTTTTGGGTGTACAGTCCAGTTTATCTTAGAGCAATGGTTTCAACAGTCATCCAATTTCTACAGCTTCAAAAAATCTAGTCAATGAGAACTTGAAATTCGGTTTTGTATGCACCCCCTTTTGATCAGGATTATTTTGTGGAATCTTTTATCAAAATGCTCAGTAATGAACCACAGGCTCCCATAACCTGGCCAGAAGAACTACATGGTGCCTGGCGCCATTACCAATCACATTGACCAGAAGCACAATAGATGGTCCAGGTTAGAGTGAGGGGAAAATGTTTAACAAGTGCAAATTCAAATCAAGATCAGTATTTTAAAAATCCATACCATTGGCTAGACTAATGATACTATGATTCTCTCCCTCTCTCGCTGCCATTGATTCCAGCTCATAGGCAAACCTATACTATTATTATAATTACCAAATGTTAGTTAAACTATTTCTCAACAAGTTGATAATTCTGCCAAGGTGGACCAGTGATATATATATATAAATTACGTATACAAACGGATTTTGAGTTCGCACTTAATCATAAGCCTTAATCTAAGCACAATTAGTTTTTGCTCTGTCTTGCTGCTCAATACTTGTACTCATGAAATGATCACTGAAGAAAAGGGTACGATAGCAAAGTGTAGTGAAGAAATCAGATGGTGACTGGCTAAGTGAAGTGTCAGTCATGAGCACAAGGAAGCAGCACACTAGTCTGAGATCCAAGGATTGTGAATAATAAAATCCAGGATGAAAGGGAGGACATTATATTAGCGCTTCAATTATGAGCCCTTGGTTTGCACAAGGCCATGGATGCCGTGTAAGCACAAAATCCATTTGCAGAATCCTCATGCGAATTAAGCTTCCATTGAACTCCCTCAGACCCATGACTAGGGATATGAATAGTCTGGCCCTCAGACAGGTGCATTGGAAAGGGGATTACTGTAGATATAGTTAGCATAAAATTTAATACCTTATCATTTGTTTTCACTTTTTAACCCATTTTAACTTGTTCTAGTTTCTATTATCTTCTGCTTTCTTTTGGACTGCATTTTTACTGTTTTCATAGCAAGTTAATCTTCCGGTCAGTAGTTTATACATGAATTGTTCTGTGACACTGGTTGTGATACCCATAATTTGTCAGTCTTCTCACCATTTTCACCCTGGG